ACTTTATTTTTAATCAATTATAAATTTTTTTTTAATTGTGTGTGTATTATTTTTATTTATTTATGTATATACATATTATGTATAAGCTGTTAAGAAAATTATTTATGGCAAGAAAAGTATTAAAGACAGGAAAAAAGATGCACAAAAAGAAAACTAATAAAAAATTTTAAATTTTACAGTTTGGAACTACTAGACATTGATATAGTGTAAAATGTTGGATGTGTGTAAAATTAATTGGAAATGTATTGTAAATGACTTAATATTACTTTAATTACAAAAATTTTTACAAACCAAAAAAATCATAAAGATTTCAAGAATCTATAAAATAAACAAGATGTGAAATTCCATATGCCAGCACGTAAATATGTAAATTTATGCATATGTATAGGGCCCATAGGATGTATTTTGGACAAGGGGCCTCAGGGTGTCCTCTAGTCAACTTGTAGTTATTTTGCCAGCTTTTGTTGCCCTCATCACTCAGTTTCTTTGTTTTGTATTTTTTGGTCGCTCTGGTTAACCATTCTTAAGCTTTTACGCAAATTATTTTATTTTGCGTTGAAGAAATAATAAATTGTGGCAAAGCAAATCAAAAGGCCACTTCAATGAGCAGCAAGAGGGTCTCACAGAATAAGTAACAACAAGATGAAAAATATAAGCAAAAACCAGAAAACAAAACAGAAAAATTAATTCAAACGCTTTTGTGCGAGCTTTTTTGGGCTAAGGTTGGCACAGCAAGAGCTGCTCTGACTGACTAAGTTGGGGGGATGAGCTAAGTAAGTTAAGTGCTTGGAGGCTACATAGGGGTGCCCGGCTGCATAAGCCCTGCTAAATTCAACAGCAACAGCAGCAACAATAAAGCGAGTGGCTGCGTGTCGCTCTGACTGACTTTATGGCTAATTTTAGACAATTAATGAAGTGTTGGCTACGCTTGATAAGAGTGTGAAGTGAGCCAGCAGCTGCAGCGGGGGTAAATCATAGCAGCAGAAAATAAGTCATGCAAATGAGCGACAGTTTGAGCCAGCTGCGAGGCACAATGTTTATATATCACGCATACGCCGCGTCTGCCTTTGATAACGGCGTAAATCCAACAGAGGACTAATGCGACAGCGTCAAAGATTTTATCGCTACTGACATATGAGCTTGTTAATTCTGAGCAGGAAAACTCCCACAAAAA